CAATCAGGTGGGACATTTGTTATTGTATCATGTCCAGAAAACTACTGCTATTGTCACAAGAATTTTACATCCAGTGGTGAGTGTCTGTTTGAGAGAGATAAGCAATGTAGGGGTAACAGAGAAAAGCAAGTGTGTGGAAGGTGCAAGAAGGGCTTTTTTTTAAAAATTGGTGAAGATGATTGTACAAGGGAGTGTAATTCTGATTCACTGAAATGGATAGGTTATCTAGTCGCTATATTATTATCTCTAACTTTATTAGTGCTTTTCATTATGCTAATTAATTTTGACCCTTTTAGCGCTTATCTTAATGCATGGCTATATTCTTATCAAGTACTGTTATCTTTAACACCTGGTGATATGAGTTTTGATCCTTTTCTAACCTTCATTATTAATCTTGCCCATATTCAGATTCTTGGATTTGGTAGTGTATGCATGTGGTCAAACATGGATGACTTGCAGAAATTAGCTTTCAACTATATACTGCCTGTCTATGTTTTTATTTGTTTGTTTGTCCTTGGCAAGATAGTTGTACAATGGCCCAATAACTTTTTCACACGTCGGTTAACACAGACTTCTTTGGCTCGAGCATTTTGTACTCTATTTGTACTGTCATATTCTACTGTGATCAATATCAGCTTGAAAATTCTTCGTCCTGTCAAAGTAGGTAATGAGTATTTCATGTACTACCAGGGAGATGTTGGGTATTTCAGCTTCTACCATGTAATTTTTGCTGTGTTTGCTCTACTCTTGGTGATATTTGTTGGTATATTTTTTCCGTTGCTTCTTATTCGCCGTCAGTGGTTTAGGTCCTTTGATAAAGGTTTAAAGAAACTTTTACTTGATAACTTCCAGCGATGTTTTCGTGATGGTTATCAGTGGTGCGCAGGTTACTATTTTGTTTGTCGATTTATCTTACTTGTGGTACGTCTCGCTGTTCCTCGAAGTGCATTGCAAGTTAGTTTGTTGAATAGTGTTTGTTGTATTATCTTGGCTATATTTGTTTTGTGTCAACCTTATGCAGACAATACCAATGGTGGTACAGTAGTACCATACAGAATACTAAATATCTCTGATGCTGTTTTGTTGTGTAATCTCTGTCTAATTAGCAGTTTTGGTGGTACTGCTTCTGGCATTTATGGCCACTCTTATTACAAAAACTTCCAAACTGTTATCTCGATTCTAAGCTACATCCCATTAGTGTTCTCTTTTGGGCTCTTGGCTTATGTTCTGCGTCACAAATATATGACCCGCAATCGTCTTTTGGAAGATGTGGACTAATAATGTATTGTATATATTATTATTTACCAGGTCCTGGAGCTTGAAATATGTTGCTAGGCTAATTATCTAATTTGTATAGCTGCTCACACGTCATTGGTAATCAATTATGCCCACAATAATAAGACATTTGAATCATCAGTACAACTATATGCACCGCATGATATTTCTTTTAAAAACCAGTGGCGGACCCTTAGCTGAGGTTTAGATCCGTTAACCAATCAGACGCGTACTTATAGTTTGTACAAGGTAATGGGAGTGGAAGGCGAGTCTAAACCTCACTATTAGGTGGCCGGGTGACGAATTAGGTTTCCAAGATATGACCACCTTTTGTAGCTGGAAATCGTAATTCTTTAAACTTTTTTGCCTTGCTTAATTTATAGCTTACCAAAATGAATGGTTTCATGGTTGAAAAATTATTCATGTTACAGCTTTGTTACACAGTTATTCGGCTATTATTTAGTTTTGTTACACACTCAGTCATTCAAAGGCTTTCAGTGTCTGCCACTGGCTAAAACATCCGAAAAGATGCAGTCTCATTGGCTGATAATGTCGAATGTTATAGATTCTCGCAATTTCCCATTGTATATATCGATTTATGTAACAAGTTAGCTGGGACCTGTAGTATGTTTCACACAAGTTGAATGTGTTCTAATTTCATTTATCTAATATGATTTAGTTATCGATAATAATCGTTTATGATTGATTGATTGCCGATAGATTGATCGGGAACAGCTGATACTGTAGTACAGTTTTGTCAAATTTACAATTTCGTATGTTCACCAAGTCAGGCTAAAAAGCGTAGAATGTGATTTAATTAATAAACTGTGTCAGCCTGTAAATGTAAATTCCAGTGATTGTAGAAAGTCTGTAATAAATTAAAACTACTAGAACTGAAGTTTTACTGAACCTATTATGGACCTATAGCCAATTATAGCCACTTTATTAGTTTTAGATTATTGACAGTGTAAAATGTCTAAGAATTTTAAAATGATTTTACTTTTCTCATATAGAAATGTATAGAAATAAACAATTTTGAAAATGTTTACGGAGACTTTGTCATAAATATTTAATGTGCATGTGCATTTCGAACAACCATGTTTCTCGCTGTTATCAAAACAAAATGCTCATACAGCCTATATAAAGCATGTTAAACTGGTAGGTATTTATAAAGTTTGTTCGTTCACTGCAACCAGGTATATCAATCATGTTTCGCTCGCTACTCTGGTTTAAATAAATGATTACAAAGCCCAGTCGAATTGTAATCAAGACCCAACGTTTCGACACTCCAGTCTAGTGTCTTCATCAGGGGTGATCTAAAACTGCGATCGTTGCTTCTTAAATACCCAAGGGATGACGTCACCTGCCAAGAAGATGCATATATTCTTCTGGCAAATAGGCGCCGTCATCCCTATTCAAAGCATGATGACTCATATTTATATGCCACGCTTCTAGGCAAAGTCTTTGACCGTAACGATTGTTTGTGGTAATTACTTTAGAGTTTTCCCACGCAATCTCGTGTTTGGTGTAACATACATGTTCGGCTAAAGCTGATTTTCCCTTGTCTAAAGTTGAAACAGCCTTTTGATGTTCTTTTAGCCGTGTACCAAACTCGCGTTTAGACTGACCCAAATACTCTTTGTCGCAGTCACCGCATGGTATAGAATATATAGCATGAGTCTTCTGATTTGTTTCAACATGATCTTTTGACTTTGCGAAAATATGGCCTAAAGTCAAATCGGATTTTAAGGCAACCTTAATATTACAATTACTTAAGATTCTCTTGATTGGTTCTGTGACACCTTGAATGTATGGAACTATTTCAAAACCCTTAACAGAGGCATCACCCTCGGAGTTATTTTGGTTCCTACAAACAGGTGGTCTCAGGCAATCATTAAGAAAACGCTTTGGGTAATTGTTTTCCCCTAAAACATTTAGAACATATTCACGTTCATTAGCTTGAGAATCACTGACGGCAACGATTCAGCTCTTTGAAGCAAAGTTCTTGCTACGGATCTTTTATGGCTTACTGGGTGATGAGAGTCGTATGACAATTATTTGTCTGTGCGTGTGGGTTTGCGATAAACATCAGTCTCTAACTTCCCTTCGACAGTTCTGTGCACATTTAAATCTAAAAAAGCTAAATATCCATTTATCTCACGTTCTACCGTGAATTGGATGGACGGCTCAATAGAATTTAAATGTTGCAGCAGAATATCGTAGAAACCGCAGAGATAACATCATCGACGAAACGTTTCCACCGGAACAGAGGCTAAAGCTCTTTGTTCGACATCTTCCCTTACTAAATTAGCAATTACTGCCGAAACTGGTGACCCCATCGCTGTTCCAAAAACCTGTTGATAATAACAGCCCTCAAACACAAAGTATGTGGCGTTGAGACAAAAAGACAGAAGATCAATAATATCTTCTACAGGCAAGGATGTTCTTTGTAACAAAGTGTGTTTGAGGGCTGTTATTATACTTTGTGTTTGAGGGCTGTTTTTATCAACAGGTTTTTGGAACAGCGATGGGGTCACCAGTTTCGGCAGTAATTGCTAATTTAGTAATGGAAGATGTCGAACAAAGAGCTTTAGCCTCTGTTCCGGTATCTCTATCGTTTTGGAAACGTTTCGTCGATGATGTCATCTCTGCGGTTTCTAGAAATGAAATCGATATTCTGCTGCAACATTTAAATTCTATTGAGCCGTCCATCCAATTCACGGTAGAACGTGAGATAAATGGACATTTAGCTTTTTTAGATTTGAATGTGCACAGAACTGTCGAAGGGAAGTTAGAGACTGATGTTTATCGCAAACCCACACACACAGACAAATACTTGTCATACGACTCTCATCACCCAGTAAGCCATAAAAGATCCGTAGCAAAAACTTTGCTTCAAAGAGCTGAATCGTTGCCGTCAAACAGTGATTCTCAAGCTAATGAACGTGAATATGTTCTAAATGTTTTAAGGGAAAACAATTACCCAAAGCGTTTTCTTAATGATTGCCTGAGACCACCTGTTTGTAGGAACCAAAATAACTCCGAGGGTGATACCTCTGTTAAGGGTTTTGCAATAGTTCCATACATTCAAGGTGTCACAGAACCAATCAAGAGAATCTTAAGTAATTGTAATATTAAGGTTGCCTTAAAACCCTATTTGACCTTAGGCCATATTTTCGCAAAGCCAAAAGATCCTGTTGAAAAAATCAGAAGACTCATGCTATATATTCTATACCATGCGGTGACTGCGATAAAGAGTATTTGGGTCAGTCTAAACGCCAGTTTGGTACACGGCTAAAAGAACATCAAAGGGCTGTTTCAACTTTAGACAAGGGAAAATCAGCTTTAGCCGAACATGTATGTTACACCAAACACGAGATTGCGTGGGAAAACTCTAAAGTAATTACCACAAACAATCGCTATGGTCAAAGACTTTGCCTAGAAGCGTGGCATATAAATATGAGTCATCATGCTTTGAATAAGGATGACGGCGCCTATTTGCCAGAAGAATATATGCATCTTCTTGGCAGGTGACGTCATCCCTTGGGTATTTAAGAAGCCACGATCGCAGTTTTAGATCACCCCTGATGAAGACACTAGACTGGAGTGTCGAAACGTTGGGTCTTGATTACAATTCGACTGGGCTTTGTAATCATTTATTTAAACCAGAGTAGCGAGCTAAACATGATGGGTCATTAGAATTGTTTTTCTTGATTTTCGGAAGGCGTTTGATCTTGTAGATCACAACAAGCTTCTTGAGACCTTCACTGGAATCGGTGTACGGCCCGCATTAGTGGGTTGGTTTGCGTCCTATCTACATGGCAGATCGCAATTTACATCATTTCAAGGTGAGCAATCAGACCTGCGAAAGATCAGGGGTGGAGTCCCACAGGGTAGCAAGCTGGGTCCAATAGCATTTGTCCTGAAAATTAACCATCTCCCACAAGTCGCTATACCTCATGAGCAGGAACAGATATGTGAAGCATCTGATGATCAAGATATAGCTATATTCGTTGATGATAGTACATTGTCCGAAGTCATTACCATAACTCAACATTCATCTGGTAGCCCAATTGGTAACACCCAACGAAGTGTAAATAACGTAGTGCAATTTGCAAAGGATGAGAGTATGGAACTGAATGGGAAAAAATGTAAAGAAATGCTAATTGATTTTCGGAAGAAGAAAACAGAAATACCACTGATTAATATTGGCGACGATAAAATATCCCGTGTAAAGTCGTATAAATTGTTAGGAATATGGATAGACTATGACATGAGATGGAAAACCAACACTGAGTACATTGTAAAAAAAGGCGCTAAGCGACTTTACCTCTTGAAGATTTTAAAGAGTTATGGTGCACCATAAAATGACCTATTAGCTTTCTATTGTACAGTAATTCGTTCTGTTCTAGAGTATGGTGTACAAATCTGGAGTGGTGGTCTGACACAAATGCATAAGAAAAACATAGAAAGAATCCAAAAACGAGCCCTCCGAATAATTTATCCTGGCCTTTGTGATTATGGACTTCTATTATCTCAGAGCAATCTGCTGACCTTAGAAGAACGCAGAAACAATTTATGTACTTCTTTAATTGAGGACATGTTACAACCATCACACAGACTTCACGGACTATTGCCAAAGAAACTGAGTGACATTAGGGAAAGAGAGACTAGGACAAATGGCGAAAAGATTTATAACTTTTTTTGCAACACTAAACGTTTTAGAAACAGCCCTGTAGTTCATGCTATTAATGAATATAATTTTAAATTAGATAAGTAAGATTTATATACATATTTATACAATTCCATAAATATATATAAACGATTTTAATATACATATAGGTCCATTGATGTAAATAGTTTTAAATAAGTAATAATTCTAATTAATTCTAATTAATATCTGACGATGTAAACACGTTGTAATTTAGCTTTTTGCTATTGAAGGTGTATTAATAAACCCACTATTATTTTAAAAAAGTTAAAAAAGGTAAAAAAAACTAAAAAGTTAAAAAAGTTAGGGTTAAGGGTTAGGGGTTAGTGGTTAGGGTTAGGTGCAGACCTCAATGGTGCCACAGTGTTTAGCACCCTAGATCTTGCCTCAAGTTACCACCAACTGCAGTTACATCCTGAATCCCGCCATATCACAACCTTTACCACTCGACGTTACAAGCGACTAATGTTCGGCATTAACGCAGCCTCGGAGATATTTCAGAATGAAATTGCAAACCTACTGGTTGGATTACCTGGTTGTAAGAATATTTCGGACGACATCATATCATCGTCTATGGTCGAGATGACAAAGAACATGATGAGAACTTACGAGGCGTGTTAAACCGCTTACAAGACAACAACGCCAAATTAAACGGTCAGAAATGTTCCTTCCGTAAGCACCAAGTAGTATTCTTTGGGCACACATTCAGCGCAAGTGGAGTTCAGGCAGACCCAAAGAAGATCGACATCATCCGGAATGTGCAACCTCCAAGAAATGTCAGCGAAGTCAAGTCCCTTCTTGGAATGACCCAGTACGTATCTCGGTTTATTCCCAACTATGCCTCCATCACAACACCCTTGCGTACCCTGACCCACCAGAACGCCAAATGGCAATGGCAAGCGGAACAAGAGAATGCCCTGAAAAAACTTCAACACTAGCTTATGAATGATCCTGTTATGGCTTATTTCGACCCTTCGAAAGCAACCACCGTCATTGTTGATGCCAGCCCCTCGGGTTTAGGAGCACTGCTTACTCAAGAAGGCAGAGTTATCAGTTATGCAAGTCGTGCACTTTCCAGTGTAGAATCCCGTTATTCACAAACTGAACGAGAGATTTTAGCCGTTACATGGGCTATCGAACACTATCATATTTACCTCTATGGTGCTTAGTTTACTATCATCACCGACCACAACCGCTACTCGGAATCTTTAAAAGTCAGAAACCGACTTCAGCGAGAATCGACCGCTGGAAACTAAGACTGATGCGATATGATTGCGAAGTTGTTTACAAACCAGGGAAAGATGCAGAAAACCCTGCTGATTTTCTCAGTCGTCACCCCAACCCTGTTGCTTCTTCGCCCACCGACAACACTACCGAAGCCTATATCAACTATTTTCGCATCAACCTCATCCCCAAAGCTATGAAACTGGACAAAGTGAAGAACGAAACTGCTAACGACCCCGTCCTTTTCAAGCTTTCTGATGCAATCACACACAACCGATGGCTCGATCCTGAAGTGAACCGGTCGTTAACGTAAAGGACGAACTGTCTGTCTGCAATGGATTAATAGTCAGAAACCACCGCCTGGTGCTACCTCATTCACTGCAGAGCCAAGCCATAGATCTTGCACACGTAGGCCACCAAGGCATAGTCAAAACGAAAATGCTACTTCGTGAAAAGGTCTGGTTTCCCTCCATAGATAAGATGGTGGAACAGAAAGTCAAGAAGTGCCTGCCGTGCCAAGCAGCAACCACAGGTACCTATCGACATCCAGAACCCTTGATCATGACACCGCTGCCCGACGCACCATGGCAAGAGGTTGCTGTTGACTTTGTTGGTCCGTTCCCATCAGGCGAGCTGTTACTCGTTGTCATCGACGAATTTAGCCGATTCCCCGAAGTAGAAATTGTCACCACTACGAGCGCAAAAGCTGTCATCCCAAAGCTGGATAACATATTTTCCCGCCAAGGTGTTCCTGTTGTACTCAAAAGTGATAATGGTCCGCCATTTAACAGCTCGGAATTTGAACAATTTGCCAGTTACCTTGGTTTCGAACATCGCAATTTCACTCCATATTGGCCAAAGGCCAATGGAGAAGTGGAACGGTTTATGCGCACCATTGAAAAAGCCATATGTACAGCACATATCGAGAAGAAGAACTGGAAACAAGCCTTGTATCAATTACTCCGCCAGTACAGAGCCACACCGCACAGCACGTGGAATGTGTCACCATTCGAGGCCCTGAACGGTCGAAAGTTGAAGATACCACTTCCGAGTGGTCCAAAAACTCAGCAACAAGAAACCCAAGATCCAATGCGAAAACGAGATCAAGAAAAGATGAAGAAATACTCAGATCTTCGACAACACTCGAAAACAACTTATCTGAAGATAGGAGACACAGTCCTGATCCGCCAACCAAAGAAGAACAAGCTTACCCGTCCATTTAACCCCAAACCATTTACTGTTGAAGCTCGGAAAGGAACTATGGTTACCGTCAAACGTGGTTCGTAGAAGATAACACGCAACATATCCTTCTTCAAAAAGATTGATAATCGTGTAACGGATAGTTCAGATGACGATTTTGATTGCGACCGAACCAATGAAGACCAACACAATCAAGAACCTGTTCATTTACGAAGATCCCAGCGAGAAAGAAGACAACCAAATAGACTTGGATTTGAACATTGAACTATCAATGACTATAGATAGATAGATAGATAGATAGATAGATAGATAGACAGACAGACAGACAGACAGACAGACAGACAGACAGACAGACAGACAGACAGACAGACAGACAGACAGACAGACAGACAGACAGATAGACAGACAGATAGATAGATAGATAGATAGATAGATAGATAGATAGATAGATAGATAGATAGATAGATA